TACTAGTGAGCACATGATAACTATCAATATGGGGTTGTGAAGATTTTCGGATTTAATTGAGATCATGAACCGGCACAAGATTTCAGTGTAATGAAATTTCCATCAATTCTTTTAAATTACTTTACGAGTAAATGACTTCATTATCACTTACATCTTTCCTGAAATAACGTGTTTAATTCATAATATGAATAAAATTTAAAAAGGGGTGTAACATGATATATATATATATATATATATATATATATATATATATATATATATATATATATATATATATATATATATATATATATATATATATATATATGGTGTTTTAGTTGTGACGATTGAAAATGGTATTGTTTGCATTATCGATTTAGATGGAATTTGTCTAAGTGCAATTTTAATGAGTCAATAAACAGATAAATTAGTTTTTCAATACAATTATTCTACTTATCCTGTATTTAGGCTTATAGATTAATTTTTGATTATTTATTGTTTATTGTTATTATTAAACTACAAATTAACATAACTTTAGTAAATTTAAAGTTAACACTTAATACGTGTCAAACGTACATGTAAAACCTTTTACTTATTTCAAGTGCATGATTTTTTGTGATAAACATTAGGTTTTGTAGTACGGATCCGATTAAATTAAACATATTCATATCCTCTAAGTGTTGAGTTATCGATTATTTATACCCCTTGAAATGTAGAGTCTCATATACTATACTGAGTGAATTAAAATTTAAATAAAGTATACTAAGATGCCTAAGCAACCACTTACGATAGATTTGTGTGTCTCCAACAGTAATTAGCATTGTGCATCGTGGTAATCGGTGTTCAGGCATACGTAACACCTGGCTCAACCATCTCGATCGATCAACATTTTCAACCTCATCAACTGATTTACTATCATTTCCGAATACCCTACATCTAACCTCACTATTAATTACTCGGTGATACCAGCAGATGCAAACAACATTTCTAAGTCACCTGTCATTAAACACAAGCAACTTACGAGTATCTTCTACTTTCAATAGCCACATTTCTCAGCCGTAAATTAGAACAGAACGAACTGCCACTCAGTATACTCGTCCCTTGATTGATAGATGGATATCTCCCCTTTGTCAAACGTGACTTAAGTTGCCAAAATACAAACGAGCTTTCTCGTTGGATCTCGTCGGAAACCAACCCACTACGGCTGATCGAACTTCCAAGATGAGTGAAGTTGTCAACGCGTTCGATTACTTCACTCCCTATCCTGAGTTCAAGTGTTCACACAGGCCAGTCCTGAAGCAACAACCTGCTTCCAAAGCATCCTGTCATTATTGCCCAATGTTTTCAAAAGACTCTGCATTTAATCAGCATATTCACCAAACGAGAATATGTCATATGAGTATTCTAAGTCGATAAGTACACCTCCTTGTAGGGGATCAATGCCCGAAAACTCAAATGACGGAAATGTTATTTTCATCAATATGTCTATGATGAAGTTGAACAAGGATGGAGATAGTAGACAGCTTTGCCTGACACCACCTGAGGTTGCAAAATCAGATGACAGTGCGCCATAAGCTCAGATTCGACTAGTAGTGTTCGAGTAAAGAGCCCTCACAAGGTTCATGTACTTTTGAGGTACGCCTTTCAATGACAGACACTGCCACAGAACCTCTCAGTCAACACAGTCAAATGCTGGTTTTATGTCAAGAAAAACTATCATTGTCGGACGCCGACAAACATAGCTGTGTTCTAAAACCTAGCAAATGATTAATATGTGGACGATGCAGCCATGACCAGGTCTGAAGGCAGCCTGATTCTCTCGTGTTATCAGTTCAAGAGTCTTTGTTAGGCGTCTGATAATTTTAAGAGATATATTGGTCAAACTAATTCGTCTATGGTTATCACAGGATGATTTTAACCCATTCTTATATATAGGGACAATCAGTGATTGTGACTAGTCAGATGGTATTGCATCCAGTCATCAGATTCTAGATAAAATATTGGTCAAAAATAATCGCTAAAACTGAATCAACATACTTAGAGACCTCTTGAAAAAATCCATCTGGACCAGCTGCTCTTCATTGTTTCAGACCATCTTATCTGTAGCTTTTTGAACTTCAATTAGAATTGTGTGGCCTCCTTTAATGTTTCATTCAGGCAGTTTGGGAATGGTGGGTAGTTGTAGAATTGCTGAAGGCCATCTGAACTACTCCCTAAAGTGTTCCGCCTATCATTCTAAACATCTGGATTGAGAACAGAAAATAGTGTCGTCTTTTTCCTATCTACCTGGGCATTAAAGTCACCCGTTATGAGCACTATGTCTGAGTGTTTAGCTTTCTGAAGAAACTCAGAAGGCTTTCTGTAAAAGTCATCTTTCACTTCATCCAGGCTACAGTCAGCGGGAGTGTAGGCAGAAACGACAAACAGCCAACGACGTGTCTCACTGTCTTTCTGAGTTCCTAACGAGCGGTTTAGCCGTTCACCACATAGGCGTCTGTTAACGGGAATTCATTCCGATAGTGCTTGTTCTGCCCTCGTACTCAGTACTATGCCTACATCTGTCAGCACACGACAATTACCCATCGGGTCATCAGAAACACAGAGTGTGTTACTCGTTGGCTTTCCGTTTCGGAGAAATGAGGTCAAGTGAGTGACCACATTAGGATTCTGTATATGTGTTCCGGAGACACAACATATATCAGTCGTACGAGATTCTAGGGTTTTACTCAAGAAAACCTGCCGGCCAATTCGATATAGGGTGAGCACACTGAAGGCTCCAACGTGTAGTCTGGAGCGAGGTTTCAGTAGACTTGGGAGTGGTTCGTGCACAATAAACGCTGGCCATGGTGACTCTTGAGGAGAATGTGAAAAGAGGAGGTTTGGTGTTGAAACTCGAGGTCGGAGGAATAATAGGAATTGAAGAGAGAGACTGATTGTGAATACAGTGATCTTCAGTGGTGTAGGGTAATGAGGGCTGTTATCACTTCCCGGTCGTCCACACCATGGAAGGGTTCTTCTACATGAACCTGAAAACGAAATTGGATTATGGGTGGTCTTAGTGATCTGAGAGCATGACCACAGTGGCAGAGGGACAGCTATTTGAGTTTGGTCACACATGACCATTTTGTGATAAAGTTTGGTGTTGACTACGTACTTGTTGAGACTTTACCACCGGATACGGATATCAGTGGAATAAGGCGAGATGCGTATTTTTAGGGTCCGTTTTAACAACCCCACCCCACACACTTGTGGGAAGGCAGCATCGCTGTTATGCTGGTTATCTGATGGAAACACCTTACTGCCATCACAACTTTGTGTAATCAACTGTACGACTTTTGCCCTCGAACCTTGTGTTTGCTGCTTTTAGTTCTACCTCTCCTCAACCGACCTGTCTGCCATAGTAGAACCTTGGGAAATGAATGTTTCAGGCAGTATAGCTCGATTTGTTTGTCACGATAGGCAATCCTGACCGCCACGTCAATGTGGCAGCAACGGTCGAGTTCAACAATTGTGTCTCAAATGGAAAAGCCTGTAAATACAAGCTTGTTATTATTATTACTCATATTACGTGATCTAACGTTATAATATTTCTATTACATCATCTCGGTTATTCTTTGTTCACATTTCCTCAAAAAACTAGTACCTTAACAAAAAAGAGATCTTAACTTATCAAAATAATTTCTATCATTCTTATGTAAAATGTCTTCATAAGAAAATTTCAGTTCCACCCTATACCATCATTTTCTTGAATATATCAGAGAAAGGGAAATTCTTGCGATAAATTTTATTGATTAATTACTTTCCTGCTTGATATATGATACATGAGAACAGAAGGATTATTTTCTTAAGCATAATGACGTTGTTGAACGTTTACGTAATCTTAAAAAATTGTTTTGACAAACAATAATTAACAACCCATTTTCTATGATACTGTGAGTAAATATTTAGGTCAATTATTGTATTGCAGTATCCAGTAGTGTTATAAGCAAGTCAATACTTGGGACATCAATCAAGGTATTGTAATTATATCATAATTACTAGTTTAATAAAAAAGATATTTCGTTAGACAAACTACCAATTCACATTACCTTTTTTGGTAATTGCGAAATCCTCATAGAATATTGAAAAGACGAGGAATATTACAGTGAATAATTGTCTTTCGATAAATTTAGTTTCTAATGTCACAAATTCAGAATTTTCGTGACGTCTAGTTTTTAAATTAAGTAACCCGGTCCTGAAGCTTGCATCATTCTTACGGACGACATAATCAGCACAAACTTTAGATAGAAGTGAGCTGTTCGAATTTCTTCATATATGTTTGATAGCTTATTTTGTCAATCTTGATCTTGATTGATTGCTATTGTTCGTACAACTCAGTTCTATCTGAAGTTTATACTGATGATATTGTTCAGAAAGACAATGAAAGCTAGATGATGAAAACACCCAGTTCAGAGAAAGAACTATTATTAAATCATCGACGCGAGTTATAAATCTTCACCATTACAAATTTATGATCACTGTAGAACATGAAACAAAATATTAAAATATGTGAAGAAAACGTCCTATTCGTACTTATCAATATTATGATTTGAAAATAGTGAAATGTACATCTACTATATTTTAAATGTTAACAATATACGTTATTCATTCAGCATCGCTGTTATGCTGATTATCTGATGGAAACACCTTACTACCGTCACAACTTTGTGTAGTCAATTGTACGACTTTTGCCCTCGAACCTTGTGTTTGCTGCTTTTAGTTCTACTTCCCCTCAACCAACCTGGTTTGTTAATCAATTAAATTCATTACACTGTAATTCGATAGAATTTGGTCAATATTAATAACAGTAGACAAAAAAACTTCAAATTGTTTCATACTCAATGATCAATAAATTGTGATTGAAATAAACCAAAATGTACATAGTTCAAATGTTCATTCTACTCAATAATCTATGATTGAATTAAATTATTTTTTAGTCATTAATTCATCAAGTTATTTGGTTAAAAATAGTAATAACTCACTTTTTAAAATTGAACAAATAAGAATTAGAAGAAAAATGAGTGAATATTCCTAACCATCGTTTAGACATAATGTTTTAGGATTATTTCTACAATAAATAGAAAATGTATATTTAGATAGGTATCATTACCAAGGTTTGATTTGATAATTTCGAATAAATTGAGCATTGAGTAGATTATTATCAATAAAAATAATCTATTTGTAATATCCCAATGAGTAGAAAATTGGATTTTCTGACGTTTCGTGACTTAGTTTAAGTTACTTCTTCAGAGAATAAATAAATAACCAAATTAAAATTAATCCAAGTTTAAATAGTACATTGGAATAACACGAATATTATGTGATCAATCAAAAACAGGTTAGAAAATCTAATTTTCTACTCACTGGGATATTACAAATAGATTATTTATTTATGTATATTTATATAGTTTTAAAAATCCATATAGATTAACTTAAAAAAGAATAGTGAATATTTATGTCAATAGTTGTTATGAGATAATACATTATCAAAAGCATTATAGCAGTAAATTATTAATGGATGATTAAGGTATGACTAATGCAAAACCTTCACTAGTTTTTTAATTAACTAACATGATCTAATTAGATGAAGATTATCAGAACTATGTGATCTATTAACGCAATACATTTCGAACAATCTAATTACACATACTTGTTAAGAACATTTATGATAGTGTTGTATAAAAGTGTAAAATGGCGTATACTAAGGTTTATTGAAGCCTTAGCCATACGACAATTAAAACCCCCTTTGTGTGTTCAAAAACTGTTTGTTCTTACCTTAAACCTACCCTGGTAATATTGACTTATTATCCAGAGTGATTAGGTTTCGAATTGTGTTCACATTATTATTATTACTCTCATTATTATCCTTATCTCCTCTTACCCCATTTCCAGTCTAGTTGACCTTTTATTTTTATATATAAATGCTCTTACCAAGTATATGTGTGATCAGATTGTTCGAAATGTATTGCTCTAATATATCACATAATTCTGATAATCTTCGTCTTCTAATTACATGATCGAAATTTATCAAAGGGACTAATTGTTTTAACACTATCTAATTGATTTATTTTTTGTATGAATGATCTATCAATCCATGTAGTACAATGATTATGAATTTACAGCTTTAAAGTAATAATAAATAATAATAATTAATAATTTGAATAATATTAATAATATAGTAAAAATTATCTATAAGTTATGTAATAATAAAAATTTATAATTTATTAAGGATAAACATTTGGCAAGTTGAAAACGTGAGTCAGTTGAAGCTAGACCACCATTGAAAACCTGGAAGCACTGGACTGCCGTTTCGTTCCGGTATGGGACTCCTCAGCAGTGCGCATCCACGGGGTTCGAGCCCCGCGTGGTGCGGGATCGTGGATGCGCACTGCTGAGGAGTCCCATACCAGGACGAAACGGCAGTCCAGTGCTTGTGAAATTTCTTAAACTCTCCACAAAACCCATTCTGATAATAAACATTTGATTTAGATGGAGTTTTGTTCTCTGAGCTAGATGATTTATGTCGTGGAGAATTCATCATTCTTCTGAATAATATTATTAGTACAAAGTTTACGTAGAATAAATCTTCTCCATTATCTCAGCATTTGATTTAATTATATAATATAAAAGAATGAATTATAATAAGTCAATTTAATACATCATTAATGTATATATGTATTCATTGTAAAATATTTAAACTCACATTACTTTATTCATTTACACTTGGTTTCATGTATTTAAAATCAATTCGATTTGAATTAATCAAATTTTCCTTTATCAATTTATATTATAATTTTTGTATAATCAACTATATATGAATCTTATTAATTAATCAATTAATTAATTATTATTTGTATTCTACCATTAAACATTAATAGACACAATTTATATGTCACGTACAACTAACTACATGCAACAATATTTTTGACGAATAGAAAATCTAATTATAATCTATTTTGTCTTTTTGTCAGTAAAATATATGTGTCTATGAGTAGGAACTTACATTGAGCACATTGGAAATATATATATATATATATATATATATATATATATATATATATATATATATATATATATATATATATATATCCTAATCTCAGAAGGGCTTTTTGTGGATATTTTAGTAATTTTAGTAATTGAGATCATGAGTCAATTGAAGTCAGACCAGTGGAGTTCAACTGGGTCTGTTGTGAGATAATAACCCACTGAAGACAATGGTGGATGTGTCGCTCAATTTCGTGGATTAGTTGAAGTTAGACATTAACACCAATGGATGCCGACCGGCTCAGTGGTCTAGTGGTTAAGCGTTCTCGCGCTAGACTGATAGGTGCTGGATTCGAATCTCGCGAGGGGGACAGTATCGTGGATGCTCACTACTCAGGAGTCACACAATAGGAAGAAACGGCCGTACAGTGCTTCCAGGTTTTTCATAGTGGTCTAAATTCAACTGACTCATGATCTCAACTAATAAAATAAAATCTTAGTCATAAAAACACCATTGCTTAGGAAGATTAAACAGAAGGCCCTCATGAGTGTGTTTATAAAAAAAAAATTATCGACAATTGTTTGTTTGTTAATAAGGTATTTTCATATATATATATATATATATATATATATATGAAAATACCTTAAATTATTAGATGGTAACCTGTTCAACTCAAGGTATAATCATCTTGAATCCAATCTATAATGAGGCAGTAATTATTCACTAATATAGAGTTTTAAACTAAAGGAAAACTACTGTTTACTGTTTTCTAGTTTTTCATAGTTTCCAACCAATACCAGCTTGCGTGAATCTATGACAAAAAACTCAACTAAATTTTGTTTGATTTTATTCTTTAAAATTCATAACATTTTGAAAAAGATATTTTGAGTTGTAGAGTGAATTTATATATCGTCAAACATTTTATTATTTACTTGAATAAAAGTGAATTTCAATTAGACTTTTCAAAAGGTGAATTTATTTGTTGATTGATCAGCATTTTCATTTGTTTTACATTTACAGAGATTGAAGTTTATCTGTTACATTTAATTTATCTAGTTGATCAATACTTTGAATAGGAGATGCATTTGAAGACAGAACTTTTAATCAATTTCCATAACTCAGTAGTGATAGTTATCATGTGCTCACTAGTAATTAGTTTCGAGAGAAGAATTTCTATGGTTCTAGTGAGAATCCATGACCAGTGGAACTAATCCGTGTTGAGTGTGAGTCAGTCATCCATCGAAGATTATGTGAGATGGTGATGCAATATGGTGGATTGATTAAAGTTCGACATGAGAACACTGTTGGATACTGGCATAGTGGTTTAGAGTTTAAGTATTTACACATGAGATGGAATGATTTGTGTTGTATTGCAGAGTTCGATTTCATGAGTGTTCAGTGTTAAGGAGTGCCATATTAGAAGGAAACTGTTTTCGAGTGCTTCCAGGTTATCAATGATATCGCGACATTGATTGGTTCATGATTTCATTGAAACTTCTGACTAAAAGATTTTCTGTTGACGTTCTTTTTATATTATTATATCTTTTCTAAGGGGTAACTACGTAGTCAATAAAGTCGTTGGACAATAAATTTATTTCCACAGTACCAGTGATGTTACTGAAGCAACTGATAATATCATTATTTAGGTACAATTCATGAAGAAAATTCAGTACTACCAGACAGATCAGAAATTGTTTGAACAATACCGTGGAAGTAGAATAAAAATCATTGTAAACTTGAGAATATCCTTGAACATGTTCATGAGGTATTATGAGTTGTTTATGAAGAAAACGCATTGAGAATATAGCTTTTTAAGTTACTTTGCCATTCTAGTTAGGCTAGTGAAAAAGTCAAGGGTGAATCAAACGCAAAATATCAATCATGCGCGAACTTGTTTGCCTACCGATTGCTAAAGATTGGCAGTTGCTTGAGTTTAAGAAAATCGTTTACTTACGTGGTTGTAGTTAGTCATTGGTAATTGAAGGCATCATGTGAAACGATACGACAACCTAAGCACATAAATTCAGAAAAATTCTAGTAATTTTCCAAATAATGAAAATTGACATTGGACAAGTTTATTATGAAAAGTAATAAAAGGAATAAGATTGGCGTACCCAAAACTATTTAAAATACAGATTTGATAATTTCAGCTCTCGTATTCGTTAAAAACTACGTAGTTAAAACAAAATCTACATTTATGCACATTTCATTTCGATGATTAACTAACTATCCACCCTATTAATATTCAGTGTTAAATACGTCAATCTATGCTCATTGGGTAGCCAATATCTTACAATTCCACTGAATCTATTGTCATTTTTGAAGATCGTAGGAGAAATTATTAAATTTGGTTGAATACATGGAGTAAGACCGAAGCATGGCTATTGAACTGCACTGGTGACCACTGTGAAGTCAGATAATCGTCAACCTATACCCTATCGAAGCATCCGTTCACGAGGTCCAGATCCTATTAGACTGTTCGGTCAAGTACCGATAATTTAAATCTTTCTAACAAATCAAATCAACATCATTTTCGTGTTACTTAGAAATAAAGTAATTCATTCTTCATTATTAATAATTAATAAAATGGAAAGTTTTGTTTTAATTAACACCGTTATGTACAAACAAATTATTATAATTATTAATATATGTTTGTAATACAGTTTGCCTTTAGTTAAAAACGTTTCTCAGTTGACAAGAAAATAAGGTGTTGCGACAAAAATAGAATGAAAGTAAAATAAATGTCTGGAGCGTTTGTTATTTGATGAGAATTGCCATAGTCCTGTCACATGAACTGGAATGAAAGTAGTATCCAGCCAGTCTACAGGTAACATTTTTTTTTGGGGGGGGGTCAGTAAAATCGTGAATGAAGTTTTGAGCGGAGTAGCAATTTATATTATGGACTGTTTCAGGATTTTAAGTATAGTTCATCCAATTCTGTTGATTTTTCTAGTTCTAGAGAACTTAATGTTTTTTGTACGTCACCTCGGTTGAAGTCGATAGTGAGTAACTGACTTGGTGACATTGCTTCTGGTCCTCATTTTTTGTTTAGAGGAGGCTCGTGA